CGTTCAGCAATTACTGGAGATGCACCGCAATTGCTATATTTGGTCAACATTTTGAAAGTATCTGTTAATGCAACAAATTCACAAGGCATTACTTTACTTCATTGGGCTACTGCAAACGATCATGTTGCTGTTGCCCGACTGCTGTTGAGGCATGTATATATATTGACCTTTAGTTCCTTATTTTCAGTCACAATCTAAAGATTAGTTTATAATTTTTAAGATGATTGAAGCCTTTGAATTATCCAATCGATATATTCTCAATTTTAACTTTTTGTAGTCTTGGTGCTGATCTCCGACTCACTACCATAAAAGGTCGTTCCATACTCCATACTGCTACTTGCAATGGTGCTGCAAATTGTTTAAAGTTGTTTTTGAAAATTTTTTTTGAACAGGAAAAGACGGTATGTAGATTATCATTTCCAATTTTATTTTTTTCGTAGCTTTATCTGTTATTATGAGCTTGAGACTCCCGATTTTTTCGAATTTGCTGCTTAAACATCTTAGAATAGCATGAAGAAGAACAGTTGTGGGACGTCACATAAATTCATATTGCAACGTGACTTTAATGGCGAAAATTTGCTGCATTTGGCATGCAGGTTACGCAAAAAACGCTGTTTAAAAGTTAGTAGCGCATATTCTTGATTAAAAATGCCTCATACTAAACTCGGTTCTCTGTCTTCTGCCGTTGAAAAATGAGTTATTTTTTTTTGAATTCCTACATTTCATAGAATTTGTTTTATACCTGTGCCTATTATAATCGCCTGATCATTATTTGTCGTAAACCGGACTGTACATTTGGGACATTCTATCCGTCTTCTTCTTCTTTGATAAATGCCAAGTTATGACTAATTATACTGATGTTGTGAAATGATGAAAGAAATGCTACAGCAGTGCAATCAAAGCATTAAAACACCAAACATGTAGTCACAGTGATTCCAATACACTAATTTCATTTTTAGCCGGTACTTTTACAGATTATATTAAGCTTCATCATGAAATATTTTGGATGGATAATGATGGAAGAGATGCTACAGCAGTGCAATCAAAGCAATCAAACGCCAATACATGTAGCTTGCCTTTGGAACAATGTGGAAGCTGCAAATTTGTTACTGACTGATAATCTTAATAAAATCGTTAACAAGATATATAATTCGACGAAGAGAGTTAACGTTGCAATTGCTCTTAGGGAGGCATCGAGACGGACACTGTCCTGGCAAATTGGACGGTTAGAAATCAAAAATGTGCTTTTACAAAATATCATTATTATATCAAAATATATCATGTTTAATATTAGTATACAACTGTGTAATATTAGCAAAGCTTGATGGTATTGTAAGTTTTTTTTATTTTATTTTCATAATTTATTTAGAGGCACAGTGCTTCATGAAATGGCAACAATGAAGTGCAGTTTTGCTTGTTTTACTAAAAATTCTCCATCATTACTGGAATATGATAACAAGCTGGAAGCAGCAGATCTGAAAATGTATTTACTTAGTGGGTGCATAGCGATTGAAACATTTGAAAAAAGATGTCTTGAATGTGATAAAGGTTTAATTTCTTTTCGATTCATATTTTTCACAGAATTACTTAATCTAATTCATTTCATATCGCTTCTTAAGTGGAGCGCATAGGAAGAAATTAAGTTCCTTATGTCTGATAAGCCAAATTTTCATTAGCGCTTATTTTTGAACGAATTTTTTATGATAATTCATTCATTTGTTTTTTGATTTAGCACAGTTAGAGGTGGTAAGGGTAATTTTAAAGTGTCGCCCTGAACTGATCCTTTTGCGAGATGTGTTAGGACAAACAGCGCTGATGTGTTCAGTAATCAGTGATGCAGTTTCAGTTACTAAAGCTCTTTTGCTTTATAGGGGTGGCAAGGAGGTATGTAGATATTTCGGCTCGTCGTTTATTCCCAAATAAGCTTATCATATTTGAAGTAACATTATCTTTATGGTTTCATGATACTATAACAAAAAATTTATGAATAAGTTGCTTCACAAATTGTGGAAATCATGGCAGAGGCACGCTTGCTCATTTCTATTTACAATGCAATTACAGACAAAGGCGGAATAGAGTAATGATTTTTTAAGCAATGGTTAAATAAGCAGTTGAAGTCCATAGATTCGGATTTCCACACAGCATTGCATCATGCAGCGGCAGGAGGTAAATTACGCCAAGCCGTGCTACTTTTGAAATATGGTGCAACAGTAAGAGGACAGGATAGTTACGGAGCAACTCCCATGCACTATGCCGCTATTCGTGGATTTTGTGCCACACTTAAGCTGTTGTACAGAGCCAATAAATATACTGATGTAAGTTTTTATATTCATCGCAAATCAAATCTCAATAAAAGGTTTTTTTAGTTTATCTCAACCTTGATCCTCATATCACATCTACAGTAATTAAAAGTTAATGTTTTTAAGAATTTCTTCAGGAAGTTCGTACAAATAATGGTCATAGTGCACTCATGTGGGCAGCAATGAGTGGTATGGATACATCGATACGCACCATGATCGATGCAAACTCTGTAGGAAATCGAGAGGATTGCGACACTCAAGGCTGCACTGCACTGCATTTAGCTGCCGCCGGTGATCATATCGAGGTTATCAATACGTTACTCTGCTTCAAGTGGAATGCTGAGGTGCGTTCGCTTTATAGCTAATAAGAATTGTCAGGAAGACTTCGACAGTAGAATATTTTTACTTTGCATGTAATAGTCTATTCGCTTCAAGGGTTATTACTTCAGTATGCTCAGCCAAAATTAGAGAAGAGATATCAATATATTAAAGTTTCATTTAAAACTTTTAGAAGCGAAACAAGCTTGGCGAGACTCCTCTTATAGTGGCGGCAAAAAGTGGTAGTACAAAAGCTGTACGACGTTTTCTGCATGCTGGTGTTGATTACTCCAGTAAAGATAAAGTGAATTTCCGAACGTTTAACGGGAAGTACAAGAGTTATTACAGTATAGCATCATTACGATATAATAGAGATTTTTGATTTAGTTCAACAACACAGCCCTTCATGTGGCGGCAGATTCAGATGGCAAGTGGGAAACTCTTCGTCAGCTCCTGCGTTATTTAAAGGATTCATCTCTGTTAAATACGCAAAATAATTTGGGGCAAACGCCACTACATTGCGCTATCGAACATAACGCCGTGCAATGCGTACGATATTTGTTAAGAGTAATTTTTTTCACTTATTTTCAGCTTGTTGTTTGAAAATTCGTTATCCCTCTGCTCATCCTTTTTTTGAAAACTTTATTTGGCAATGACATTCAATTTAAAGCATGGGGCAGATCCTCTGATAAGAGATAATCGTGGATGGGATCCTCTGATGATTGCAATACAACAGGGCTGCTGGTCTACAATCATTTTAATGCTCAAGTCAGTCATTTTTTTTTTCGATTTTGCATCATTTTTGATCATAGCTGTGATCAGAATATTCAGCAAAAAAAGAAAAAATTTTTCAACGTAAGATGAGGCTTACTATTTTCATCTTCTACGGAAAAGTTAAGAGACAGATGAGTTGTAATGTTTTTGTTTTAGGAATTCATCAAATATTAATTGCTACTCGGCTGCCGACAACCAAACAACATTATCGTTAGCTTTAAAAAACAAAAACTATATTCTTGCCTCATTTCTAGAAACGAACGGTGCACTATTAGCTAATGAAATACAACATATGGCTGCAGGAATGTATGGCTTGTTATTTTCATGGGATTTTTTTTTACGACCCCTGTTTAATTAAATCCGTCAAAATTATCAACTATACTCAGACAGAAGGCGGCATGGTTTGGTTGAGTCCCATTTCGATTTCAATATATTTCAAAGTGCATGTTGAATGATTAACACTGGAGTAGTAATTTAAAAGGTTTGCGCAAGTTAGGACTTTCTGATTTCTCGGAATGCAAAAGTCTCGTCGAAATTTTTGCAAATGAAATTTTTAATCATGCAGAAAAATGTTCTCAGAATTCAACGCTGGTATCGCGCTCGAAGTGCCTCTCGATGTCACCGACATATAATACAAACGTTCTATAGCTTGAAGGGACGGACTTTCCAGTAACGATCTTTTCAAATATTTGTTTTCGCATTTTCGTACTAGCTCTCTGTAGCCCTGTATCGTTAGTTCATCCATTGTGAAAACTGTCAACTTCTGAACTCTTCTCATAATTTGCATTAGTTGAATTCAACTTTATAACTTTCTCACCTTCATTTTTTGCATGACCAATATCTACTGCAGAACATTAATTACCGCACCGATAAATTACGTGCAGCATGAGGGACAGTAATTTTAGGGCGACAAATCAAAATCGTATATTTTAACGTAAGAATTAGGTGCATCTTGACCATATTTCTATACCATGCCGTGAAATATAAATGGAAGTTTTGTTAATTTTTTAAAAGAAAAAAAAAACTCATTACAAATACCGTATTTTCTTACTGTTTACTTTGCAAAAAATACAGAAATAAAGGAAAAACTTGAATAAAATTAACAGCAATTTCTCTGATTCATTACTCAACATTTACCATGTAAATGACGACAGCAAACCCATTATAATTGCAATGACTGTTATCAGAGAGTTTGCAACAGCTTAGTAACTTGTTTCCTCGTGTCTTCTGGGTCTTTAACAGTATATCCAATGGTTCTAGGATGAACAAACAGATCGTAGTCATTACCTCCCTAAACGTGAAAAATATATACACATAAGCACAAAAATTAACTATACACATAGAGTAAGTCTTTTACTGACTCGGTAGAATTATACACGAAACGACGACGAACCGGTGCGGTCCTATCGCCAAAAAAGTGAATTGTGTGAAAATCGTTCAGGAACTGTAAACAATATGTTTTGTCCCAACCACATGGAAACACATCAATACTGATTTGGCCACCTGCAAGATACATCATTAAAGAGCATCATTAAACAAGACACATCATTAAAGAGATCATAAAGAGTGGAATGATAAAAAGAAATGAAGTGAGCACTAACCAATGCAAACATTAAGATTCCATCCTTCCGTGAAATCCTGAAGTCTCTTAACAAATTTCTGACGGACACCATGTTCTTTATCATAAGCCACGAACTGTAACCGCTCTTCTTGAGTACAACATCGGCCTATTGGTGAGAGATTCAGCATCCCCTAAATTCGAATTTTTACATGATCAGAACGCACACGTGATAAAACGTACAGGAAGATTCCTCACTTTCACATGTGAAATTCCTTTAAAAAAACATTATGCATCAAAAAAAATTGTGAAGCACTCTCGGTGCTGTCATATACCAAAACCGCTGCCTTTGCCAATATGAGGTAGTATTCTTATCCCAAAAACTTCTTACTGCAACGCGCAACTCTTTTATTCCAAATTTTCTTTTGTGAATTTTCCTTTCTTCTCTTCTTTCCTTTCCCATTCACTTGCTGGGAATCAAAGCTATTAGTCACAGAAACCTTTCAAAGGATTTTCCAAAATTGTCAAAATTCTAAAAACAAATAAGCAAAGCTTGCATTTCGGAATTCAATGAAATGTCCACGTTTAACAGGCAAATCCATTTCAGAAAATTCTCGTAATACGAAGTTGATGAGTTTTTGCAGTTGTTTTTCACCAAGGTGATGCTTCAATGACTGCAACATTTCAGTTCGTTTACAAAAGAAAAGACGATCAACAGTCAAATTTGAGTTGCATAGGGCTCATCTGTGCTGGTAAAAGCAGTCAGTCGCGAAAAAAAAGTAGACATAAGATAAAAACAATTAAGAATTGACTAAATGTAACCAATTTCTAAAAAAATGAATCAGGCGAAGCATGCGAAATGATATGCTTGTAATACAAAAATTGAAGAACAAAACCTGCACAGGAAATGTGGTTCCTTTACTGACACCCACAAGTCCATTTTCACAGAACACGTAATTAAAACGACTCAGAACTATAACATATTCTATAAAACTAACTGATGGAGAAATTTATTAATAATAAAAGCAAAATAGTGAATATACATAAAAATACTAACTAGCCCGATTAATCAAATGGGACTGTACAAGGCTTTATGTGAAATTAAGGTATATTTAACCTCTAAAGGTCGAACTTCTTACTTTTTCTATTTGTACACGTCAATATTTTACCATCTTCTAAGTTTTCTCCTAATTGCTCGACCACTTTCGGCAAATCAGAACCACTCACTATCGCTAAAGGTACTGTTTTGTGCACTTCCATCAAGAAATTGCTCATCGCTGGATCCATTTTCTGAAGAACGACACATAAAAATAATAAAAAGCTAACTGACACAGCCTCCATCACCAAAAAATATGTGGGAGATGCACAAATCAAGTGATCAAGCTCAGATCTGGATAAAACAATCTCTGAAATCTTTGATAACATCTCAACAATGTAACATACCTGACGTGGTAATGTTAAAGTGCCATCAACATCAAAAAGAAGAATAGTAGCCCCTTTCGACTCACTCATTCTGAAAACATTAAGCGAACCGAAGTACACTTCAACCGTAATACATAGAAAATATGACGTTTCCAATCTGCAGTAATATTTCTAAGCATCTTACACCACTATTTGAGTGACAAATACGGAAATACTCATATTTGAGTGCAACACTCAATGAATGTCTCTTCCTGCATCATAAAATACAAGATGGTTAGTAACAATTTATTTTCCAAAAAAAAGCTACTATATTAAAATGAATATGGGAGAAAAAAAGAACTATTCTAGGAAAAGAGCAAAAAAAACAGGAAAAAAAAGGAAAAAAAAAACAACAAGAACCATGGAAGGAAAAAAAAGAAGCATATGTGCAGAAAATTGCGCTAAAAAAAATAAAGAAAATCAATCAGATGTAACAAATGATTGCTGGTGGAAACAACACTAATTACAATTCATCTCACAAAAAAGATCGAAAGTTCCAAAAGTATTCGCAAAAACTGCTACAGTTTCAATATTATTTCACGGAAGAATGAACTGATCTGTAGCCATATCAAGCCAATTTTAATCAAATGAAAGAAAACGAACAGCGGAATCAATTGAGTTCATATATAATCAGTTCTAGCACATCACATACCTACTACATTCCCGAGAACATTAATAAGAATGCAGCACCAAGCAAAACTTAGATAAAAGACGGGAATCATTATCTTACAGACTGGTAACAACACAAGAAATTATCTCACTAGAGAAGGTAATGTTTCTCAACTATCTTAGCATTTTTTAAACAAAACCTAAAGAAATATCATTTTGTGCCACTGATCAAGTTTTTGATAATATAACATACGGAAATCATAAACGACAATAGAATAAATAAGAGTAGGCAAGAACTCTATTTCAGAAGCAATTGATAAGTAATGGGATCATTTTTTTAAGACTTTTGGAAATATTTCCATGCTATTTTGTCGATTAAGTAATTGCAAAAAATTGAAACAACTACATTTTTTAAAATGCATTTTTTTATACATATTTTTATGTATATGAGTAAAGAGACATATGTATGAGATTGATGGCAAAAAGAAAATTCGTTGACAAACGAAAAAAAGACAAGAATTTCATTAAAAATATGCATGAGGTCTGAAAATGAGTTTTTCACTGAGATTCTTGAGTATACAGCCAGTAATTCAAGGTTGCAGGTCGGCTTTCATGATGCCTAAATAATACAAATTTACCACTCCAATATATGCATGCTTCCCATCGAGTAATGAATCTGAGACGCATATTCAAGGACTGATTTTTTCCAAAATAATGATAGCTGATACGTATGCTTTAATATTACCATGCATGAACCTAATCTCATTCTGTTTGTTATCAAATATTCATTTTGCCTGCATTATTTATATCTGTTCATTAATATTATCTTCGCAAACATCACTGCAATCAATGTAAGCTGCTCTCTCTGTATGCGGCATAGTTGTGGCATTCATAGATTGCTCTGCGTCCTGGCATTGTACGTCATCAGCGGGATGGCAATTACCCGAAGTGCAGGGCTGGATGGAACTATCTTCATTCAGTGATATGTTGCAACGAACTGTTTTATTGCACAAAAGTGAAAGCACATCACCACGCATGGTTTCTGAGACTTGGAGTATTCGTTTTTTTTCAAACCATTCATCGAGTTTAATCAAAAGATTAAGCAGCTCCACGTCGATCAAACCCATTGCATTCTAAATTTGATTATTTCAAATTTAGGTATAGAAAGCAGAAGATCTAACAAATGTTTTATACAGACCTGAATCCAATTATGATGCTGAAGACAGTTCTTTCGTAAGGAAAAACAAAAGCCTTCCTGAATCAGTGCTTGCATGTTGCCAAACATTTTGATGACAGGTCGAAATTCACTCTTACTCCACGCAAAAGGATAACCACAGATCTACAATACGATGATCAACTAGTACTACCAGTACGACAGATAATAAAAACAATGAAACTGGAGAAATACTATTTAGTTCCTGAATTGCATCCTCAATAAAATAACCCTGAAAAATGTGACTCAGGAACTAAATAGATCTATGTTTTACAGAAAAATTTCATTAATGAATTGCTAGCATCTTTAAACATGGTAAAAACAATATCCGAACGAATTGGGGAATGTTGGAGAGAGAGAAAGGGTTAAATTTCTGCAGCAGTAAATGTATTCATATAGATCAATATCAATATACCTTTGTAGGATCATCTGTATATTTGTAGTGTTCACTGCATAATACACGAAGGCGTTTGCAAAACGTATTATTGGCCTTATTGAACTGCTCACAAAAAATATTGTACGGATTGACTTGTGACTAAAATGATTTAAAATCAAAGAAAAATGGTTAGAGCATTCCGCCAGCCTTGGAAAGAAACGAAATGAATAAAGGATTGATTACTGCAAAGAACATTCAAATAAAATTCATGCAAACCAGCAAAATGTGTTCGGCAGTTGCTGTTTAATGAAAGTTGTCTGCAGTATCTCAACTCTTAATTTTATGCAATCTTGAAAGAAGCGAACCTTGTTCGTCGTACCATAGCAACTCTGTTTTTCATTGCGCACGAAACAGCGCTCTGTATGTTTTACAATGAGTTTGGCTGGAAATTCCAAAGCGCATACAGCGCAATGCAGCACCTTAACTACCATATATATTTTAAAAGTGCATACATCTATGTCAGTTGCAATTCAAATCAAAACAGTGTAAAAACCCAAAATGGAAAATCAATTACTTACGAAGTCCATGTCCGGCGAGTTATTGACGGCTGCTTCATTCTTAGGTTCAATCTTATCAATTGTCTAAATAAGATTTGAATAATAACCAGAATTAGAAGTAAAAAAAGACTAGATAAATATGGATGTGACACAACCAAAAATGTCGAATGAGTTCTGATATAATTCAGTGAAAAAAAATCCCTCAACAACACGCTCCTTACACAAGACCAAACATGCAACCACTTCTTATGTATAAGAACACTTTATATGACCATGTTCCTGAAAAGCAACATAATACATGACATACCGAAATCCATTTCTGTAGCTCGTCCTGAAAATCTGCGAATATGCGCACTTTATTCTGCAAGGAAAATAATGAAACTTATGAGCACTTAAAAAAGTTAAAAAACAGTTTTGGACGCTTCACGGAATTTTTTGAGAATTATAGCCTATCTATCCGTACCAAGAAGTGGACAGTTTAACTAAGAAATAAAATAAAAGGGACTTTTTTACAACATTCCATTGTTCGGAAAAAGCTGACTACGACAACACATCTGCTATTTTTCGATCAGCCTTATCGCTCCAAAAATTATGTACAAGCAGATGCATTTATAAATTTTGATTAAAAATAAACCCTGTAAGTGAAAAATTGGCCATATAAAAACTACACCGTGCCATCAAAAAAAACATTCCATCAGGAAAAAAAATTCAGTGCATTTAGAACTGAAAATATTTGAGATATCAACAAATCATCAATCCTAACAGCGAATCATCGATCTTAGCAACAAAGTCAAAAGTGCTAGGATGATCTAAAAAAAAAGTCGCTTCTAATCTGTTAGAAAGAACTAATGAGTGTCTGGAATTCCACTTCACAGCAAAATAAAACAAACAAACGAACTACAAGTCTGCATTATATGTCTACGAGTCATCGTGCTATGAACAAAAAATCAAATACAGCTCTACTACTATCAAAAAGATAAGCATGATAATGATTTACACTAAAAATATTGAACTAACAGCGAAATTTGTTATACTCAAGTAACCATAACTAAAGAAAAACTGAAAGAACAGATAACGATTTATTAAAATAATACTTCACGCAGATCAAAAAAAACCATAACAGAGCGAGTAAGGTGGAAGGTTCCCTACTTATGTTTAAATTGCTGTGAAAAATACAGCAAATGGCGCCCACATGATCGATATAATGTTTGGCTTAAGAAGTTAGAAATCTTTTATCATAAGAAATTGCCGATCATTGCAAATGGCAAAAAACAACAGCAAGAATAATCATAATCAAAAATTTAAAATATGAGATGAACCGGAAAATAGAAGTATTGCGACAACCACATTATCATAGCGTATCATTTTATCGCAGTGTTACAGATCCAAATTTATTCAAAAGCTATTTCAATCAAAGAAAACTAAACAGCTACTGATCTATTTCAATTTTTTTAGCCATCTAAGACTGTCACCTCCCTTCCAGATCCCATCGTTTGAAAATTTAATGAATTCACAATAGTAGAGAAAGGCTACATGAAACCATATAAAATAGCAGTGAAAAGTTATATGAAACCACTTGTCCCATCCGGACTATTTGAATTGTTGGTTATAAACTTTCCCGAAGCACCAGTAATGTTCTGCGACAAAAGCTTGCTAAATTAACTTCCAACAAAATTCAAGTTATTTCGATTATTGAAAGCGATATAATACCGTGAAGAATTGAATTTGGTCCTCAGCTGCATCTAGTAAATGCTGTGACTGTTCCATACAATAAGACATATTATCCCAATATGACTTAACACGGTCCGGCAAGATGGCACGCAAACGATCCTGAAAATATTTCGGCAGTTGCAAAACAAGAACTCCCGAAAAAAAAAGAGAAATCTTTCCATAGTTGTTCATCACAAATTTCAAACAACTTACAACCAACCAGCAAACAAACTCCATTACTTTAAATGACGCTAAGGCTACTGAAAACAACTAATGATACAGAAATCATAAATTGTTGACTAAGGTTCGAATAACATACACGTGCCAAATTCATTCCGCATTCTTCACAACAGAATTTTGACTGCGAACGTGTGGAATTCGTGCACTGAGGCCCCTCACAATGCTTTACTGTATCCTACGAAGATTATTCATCCAAGAATTATTAAATTAGCAAAGTACTTAACAAATATGAAGGAGCAAAATATCTATTCAAAAACACAACAGATAATAATAATGCCTAAAGAAAACTGTGATTACTGGATTTCAACAATTATTCAATAACTTTTTGCCAATTTGATAGAGAATTAAAAGAAGTCTGATGAATATTAAAGACTTTTTACAAGTACTGAATTCACAACTCGAGAACAACATATCCATATTATACTTCAAACCTTATTCTGATTATGACGATGTGAGCGACGATTATAAATAGCTGATGTAAGTTTTTGGCGTTGATCTGCAACATACAGCAAGTTAGTTAAGTAAAACGATATCTGCAAAGACCTCGAAAACAAATTTTCTTGTACTATTCTACAATTTACAGGCCTAAAAGCGCCATATTTTCCTTTTTGCCTGAAAAAAGAGAAATATTTACACGAAACCAGTATTATTACTTTTCCAATAGTTAACATGAACGTTTTTAGTCATTAACAAGAATATATATGGTTGAGTAAGCTCATATTCAAGTGTAAACTTTAAACTTTAAAGTGCATTCAAAAACAAATAGAGAATGCGAACGCTGAAGTTAGCATATCATGTCTAACTTCCAGAGTAAATGTGAGGAAAAAGCTGAGTGCTTAAGAAGTTGTGTTGCAGAGTGAATAATTATCTTCATACCTGTTGTAAAAGAAAAATCACTGGTTTTCGATTTCTTCGCTCTTCCCGCTGCTGCATTTGTTTGACGTTTCTAAAAACATTTAAAAAATTATTTCATTATTCTGTGGATCACGCTCCTTGTCATGATATTAGTGATATTACTTAATAAACTTAATAAAGATACTTTTCATATTTAAAGCTGAAGATCTGAGATGAAATAAATTAGCAGCAGAACACTGCCTACAAAATATTGGATTACAAAAGTGCATCAACGACTACCAGGAAATGCATAACTTCTAATATAATAAAAATGGGACGTTGGACGAAAATGTGAAGGGGTAAAAAGCATCAGAGAGATTATTAGATTCAAAAATACAAAAACAAACATAAAAAAAGGAAGGATAGTGCGGATAACCAGGCCATAAACAAGAGTTATTTCTTCAAATTTTGTTTGTTTTAATGATGAAAAAAAATGCAATAGAACTTCACCATGAAACATATGTCACTTTTCAAAAGTCAGTAATAACCTGATATGGCACGGTTTTCCTTTTTCTCACTGTTTTTCTTTGAGTTTTTTTAGCGCTACTTGCAGCAGAGCCCGAACGTGTCGAACCACCTTCTCGTTTAAAAATTCCCGGGTTATTATCGTCGTCATCATCTGTTGTGCTAAAAAATTACTACTTCTACGTTTAGCAAATCAAACAACTTATGGAGGACTAAGATAACAACTTACTACTCATACTTCATTTGTTCTTTCTTGACTCTCGGTGAGACTGAGTGAATACATGGTTGAACTGAAAATAAAGTTTTGTTTCTGCTCTACTACTAAGTTTAATGAATAAAAGCGAATCAGTTATCATAATTCCTCTCATATTACGGTACTTAACATATCTTAGCTCCCTGTAATTCAATAAAATGATTGAAAATGTATCAAGTTATAACAATAAGCCAACTCAGAGAAACTTGAATAGAAACACTGCTAAAAACTTCCATATTTTCAAGTTCTTGCAAGGCTTCAACGATTTATTCAATAAATTTTGATATTAAAAAATTGAAACAAACGAAAACTTTCGTGTCTTATTTCGGTAAAACTAAAAACAAAAAATGAAAAATCAATTAATAATTACTTTCCTCTCCGCTAGCAATTTTTTGCTTTTTCTTGTGTTTATTCCACCATTCCGACTGCAAACAAATGCGCTTCAAGCAAGGCTCTACAGAAGTGTTGCAGTTTGTACATTTACCACAATTTGCCGATCGGAAACAGTTAATGCAGTTGTTGCAACTTCGCTCAGGTTTTTCTTCTGCAATATTTTCACATAATCAATATCAACGCTGTTCATGAAATTAGAAATAATATGTGTAAAGTTTCTTAAGTTGGTCGTAATCAGTCGTGCCAACTTGACTACTAAAAAATTATCTGCATGATTGACGACATTGAAACCATTACCATCTTTTGAAGAACGTCTGAACTTACTTTGAGTTTTGATATCGTTTCTAGCTTTTTTTGATTTGTACTGCTTCTCGCGATGGACGCTCTTTTCTTGTTCCCTCTTCTAGAAAACAAATGAAAAAATTGAAAGTATTTAAAAAGAATAATCTTCCACTGGAAAAATACATTACCCTTATTTGAAAAAAAACATGAAACAATCTTCTCCCTGAATCAATCAGTTCATTTGAAAGCTATTGAAGGAACTCACTGGAGCACGGTACACGATTTGTAAATTGCTGTCTTTGCTAATGCAAGGAGGGCATGCGTATGTCTCGATACGATTTGCCTGGGTGCGAGTAACCTTAAACATAAATGCAGAATGGTAAACTGGAATAGGGTGTGCTAAGTCACGGAGATTTTTATTTAGTGGTTATTAAGTGACTTCAACATAAGCATGAATTGATTTAGCAATCATATATTATCTGTTGAATTATTTTTGATTCATGTAGATAAGGTTTACAAAAGTAATGCAACTATATTGAGAAAAAATGCAAATATTTCCTCGTATAAATTGTACACGGCAACAGATTCTTCATAAATAATTAAATGAATAAGTGGTAGAATTACTTGCAGGCATGATCCATGATACCAAATACCGCAGTGATCGCAGCATATCATGAATGACGACTCATCATTACTTCCGCATAAACAGTGTGTTTGCTGCTCAGTTTTGATTTTTTCTGCAATAATCGACATTACACACAGTAATAATTAGTTCGAAATTAGGATTGAGATAGAATTATTACCATAAGCAATAACCATGGATAAAATATTTAAACCAAACTCCGGATAAATCACCTAAAAGGCTCCAACACAACCCTCTGTTTCTCAGCCGTTAAACAATAAACAATCAGTTTATTGTTTATCAATCACATTAAGTTCTTCGGCGCATTTTCCAATAATGCATTACCTTAGCAGCCCCCTATTTGACTATCATTTATTTGTCCCCATAGATCGCGTCCTTACTACCAGTACTCCTAACTCATTCCTGCTTCTATACCGTCTTCTTTCTGTGATCTTCAAAACAGTGATAATAGAATTCTTCAATATATCGACTGTCTCAATTACATATTATATTGACATCTAGCAAACTGAGTAGCTGAGTAGCAAGTTTGCTCTATCTAACACTACGAAGTGATGCCTTCCTCGCATCAAAGATACTAATGTTTAACACAGCATATTGAACATATGCGCTGTTACAAGACAACGTGTACTAGAAAAAAAAAGAGCAGTAAGTTCCGTTGTACTTTAATTATATTGCATAGTCTTGACAAATTCAAGACTAGCCGGTAGTTCAGTTTGATGCGTCTTAAAAGAATAACCGAATAAAAGTTTTGTACTCATTATGCTTCTGAACGAAAAATACACCTATCTACAAAAGTTATACCACTGTTTTAAAATAACTCTAGATTAGAAATAAGATACCTTCTTGCTCAGTTTTTATTATTCTTTCCAGATTTTGTTGTTCTTGTGCGCCAGCATTCATGCCTTCCATTGTTTTCGTAAAATGAACTGTTTAACGCGCAAGCCGTAAACCACAAGCGGATGATAAACTACACCTTGAAATATAACTAACACATTATTTAAAGATAAAGCAAACGCTACCATCCTCTAACAGATGTTTAATTAGCGAAGAACCTAATTGCCACCCAAGAAATATACAGGAAAAATGATTGGGAAGTCTATAGCTAACTCAAAAGAGTGAAAAAGCTGTATCATCTGACAGTTAGACCGTGCAGTCATGAATCCAAGAGTGACAATTCAAATTTTCCCTCAGTTGATTACTGCTGTTATACAACCAGCTGCATCCCAAGTAGCTTCTTGGATATCATGGCGGGAGTTCCATGTAGTTTAGATCTAAGTCTTACATGATCCGATCCCAGTAATTAATGTTAAAAGACAAAACCTTAATAAGTAGTTTCCAAAGAATCATGTAATCCACGGCAGACTTTATCTTGTAATTTTCCCGCCTAACCCCACAGTGATCCAACTGTACATTTCTGTTACGCAGTCACCCATTCTGGCATCACTTATCCATTTATTCTTTCAAACATCTATATAGTTCCCAAAGTACGAGTTTATGTCGAACTCGAAGTGTATTTAAGAAAATTGTGCAGAGATTAATTAAGAACTCGAAATGAAACAGCTAACAAAAGATAAACCTCGCCCCACTGAGACGTTAATTGAAAATGACACAACCTGCAAATCATATGCTACTCGTCAATACATGCCAGGGTAATTATGCAAATTTTGCAACATACAGCTCCAATTATAAGATAATATCCCCGCCCCCAATGACTTCAATGCATTATCTCCGCCTCCCAATGACTGAATTAGATCCCCGCATGCGGCCTGCTCCCGTTATGCATGTCAATCACGTTACTTTACTAATCACATTTTGCTCACTACATGATGAAGCTTACCTTCTTCCCTATACTACATGATATTTAGGATCCATTTCTCAACAATGAGTGCCTCATCGCTTTTCTTTGTTCAAAAAAATTAAGATCGAGTCTAACGATTCGGGATTTCAATCTGAATTTCACATTTTATCTTTTCAACAAATTTGCAAAGGACTGTCCCAAAATATTTTAAAAGTTACATTAGTAAATACACCACTGAACTTCACACATATAACTGAAAATATGCTTGGTAGCTGAGAAACCTCTAACGAACTGAGATAGATGGGACGATGCTATCGAAGTATGTTTATTGGAAGTCATTACCATAAAAGCAGTGAAGTTTGAAAAAAAAATCCCGTTAATTGTGCCATGAAGAATGCACAAATCGAGTTCCCATGTTTTGTATGGACAGAATAAAGCATATAAGTTTTCCATTAATTGACACAAAACGAAGTGCATATGTTCATATTGAGTAGTCAAATATGTTTTAAGGGTACACGACTAGAGCTAGGATTTTTCAACTTCAATCACAATGAGAAATAGATTTCTAAAAATATTTTATCCTTTTAGATAAGATTGCTATAAATATTTTATCCACACCACCACTCCAAAACACATGTATGATCAGCGAAAGCAATGAAAATTTCAAACTGTTTTTCATCTTTAAAACTAACTCACTGTGGTAAGATAAGTTGCGATAACAAAACCAGGCTTAACACTATTATAGTATTATATTCTGGAGATCTAAATGTATCCCATAAAATTTGCTGCAAAATAATGAAAATGATAGCGCAGTAGTATCATGAATTTACGTAGTCATTACCAACAGCCAACTATAAAGTAATATACAACAAAGGATATTAGTTAAAAATCAAACATACATGCTCATAAACACCGCTCAGAACACAAGTTGGCCGTGGGTTTAACTACTCAAAATTTCCTCCTTTATTTAAGGAACTAATGAAATCACTACAATTTCATAGAAACACGGAACACAGAAATCTTTTCATTAAGAAAAAACTGAAAATGTTACATTTACACCATTGTAATGGAACTCAAACGAACACTCCAGCGATAGCATTCTATGATTTGTAATTACAATTAAATATTCGTAAATTATACATAGTAACTATCAAAAAAGAAACAAAAGAATGCATTTAAACACACTTTGTTTATGCCTAAAACGCCACAAATCTTCGGATATTGACTTTTGCATGCCCGATTACATCCATGTAGTCATACAATGTGACACCGGCATTGTTGGCTGCCATTTGATGCCTGCGCTGGGAAAGATTACGTGATTAGGCACTAATTCACATTTTAAAAAGTTAAGTTTAATATTCGTTACAGTACTGCAAAGTTATTTTCACGTACTATAGCATTTAAAAGGAAAGTGCCAATAAAAAAATCCATAGAAGTCAAGCCCACGCAATGTATAAAAAAAGTTCTGACAAATGTGGCTACAAATAAAGCCACTAAAAGTTTAAATACAGAGTTACTCTGAAAACAAAACACTTCAGCAGAATAAGCTAGGAAATAGAATTGTACAGTAAACAACAGAACAAAGGAAAAAAGAAAGAAAACACTTCAACATAGAATTGTAACAGTAAAGAAATAAAAAAAAGTTCAAAGTGATAATCTAACTCGGTAAAAACATTTAATTACTACAGTAGTAGTATCAGTGCACTGAAAATAACACTTGTTCGGCAAGATAGTTTCAGTGAAGCCAGGAAGAGAATATAGCACTGTCTTAAGAATTCGTTGAATATCAGCTTGCAGTTTAAATATGAGATACATGACTGCAACGCACTAAAGTTTTGCATTTTTTTCACAGTTCCGTCTCGTATTTTCTATTTTATTCGTCAGTTCCTCAACTTATTTTTTGAATGTCTAATATTTAATTTTACTTTTTTTTAAAAGGATTATGAAAAAATTAAATGTGTGTGATAACTTATACTTGAGATTAACGGACTTCTTGTTATACGAAGAGGTTACGCTTCAAACGTTATGCGGATAAAGGTTATGCATGTTCTCAACATTGCAGTCACTCTATCTCTTTTCGCAGCAACAATAAAAAACTATCAGATTACCTAAACGTTCACATAAATTCATACACTGATAGTCCGGAATAAAACGCTATTCAATGAAATAATTCCCTATTCTCTAAGAAACAAAATCTACAAAATGAATTTACAGATTTCGTTACACTTGGAAACCTTTGTTTAAAGAAAATAACGGATTGTAGCAGCAATATAAAACGAAAGTCATAAGGTAGAAATTAAATGAAATTTAATCAAACTCCTTTATAAACCTATGTCGATGCAACAAGCTCAAAAGACGAAATACTATTAAGTGTATACGGCACAAATAAACAAACTTATGAAACTATGACTGATCAAAGTATTCAAATATAGAGAAGTCCTCCATATCCCCAGGAAAGAGTTGGGATCGTCGAGTGTTCTCAATCCGGATATGGCTAGGACTTGTCTGCTGTCATATATTATGAGCAGTCTTCTTTAAGGCATTTTAAGCAGTCTCTAATAGCTAGCGCCCAATAACTTCAACTTTGATCACACTCCTAATGTGTTCCTCAAAACAACTTATCATAATAGGATGAATAATAGTGACTATTTCGGTCTTCCCTATGCAAAGCAAAATAGAATATGATGCGAATTTCCGCAATGATCTGACAGTATACACATCATACCAATATCTAACCTAAGTTTTAAACCAAAATATTTCATTTTGATATTTTCAAATGGGGACCTGGATTCTGCAGTATTGCTTCTTGGTAACTACAGCGGCCTGCGCTTATGTCTGAATCATCGGATTCTAGATCGGAATCTTCCCCAGCTTTTTCAGCCTTTGCTTCTGCCTCTGGCTCCTCTTTCACTATATTTGTACATCCAAACATTTTATTTTGGGTAGAACTGGATAACCTCCCTGTATCTCCCACTCGATAAATTCCTATGACGGGCTCTAAACGTATTGCCGTGGAATGTGATGGTGAGAGTGCGTTAAGGTTTTCACGCAAAATTTCGACATAACGCTGGTAACGCTCCCTCTGCAAACAGAATCAGAATGAACTAATGATTAATATTCAGAGCCTTGAAAGCATATTATTTTCTCAACGTGATGCTGGAAAATGAGATGTCGACATAGAGATGGACGATCAAGCAACCTCTCTGACTATTGCATTAACCGACTTTACAAGTTTTCTAAAGTAAAACATAACGACACGTTTAACCGATATCACATAAAGTATCCTTAAATGAAAAAAACAACTTACTTCTTGATATAAGAAACGTTCTTTATAGAAAAAATCCTGCACAACATGGCCTTTGGCTTTCAAAGATGGTGCTGTTTTCATAAGCTCTTCAAGTTTTAATCCCATTTCTTCCTCTTTTTTTTCGTGTACTCTTAACTGCTCGGCCTACAACCAATTTTAATTTTGTCCACAGGTTTCTTTGAGAATTATTACTAACTCAGTCATGAAAATAAATTCACAGCTTCATTAAGCACTTTTATATTAGTTTAAACGGTTTGTTTTCGACTAGTCAAATGGGAACTACAAGCCGTCCTGATGACATAAGACAATGTGAAGAAAATTTAAAAAGCAATGAATTGTTAAGAGACGAATGATTTCTCTAGATTGCAGTTGGAAATGTAAATCTGCGCAACCTAGCATTGGTATGCACTACCAACTTTAATCTGAGAAATTAATTACTATTGAGAGGCCTGACGGAGCGCTAGGCAGTAGCGGTTTGTGGAAAACTTCAATCTGATTTGAAACGGATGCTGGTAACGCTGGAGAAGAAAAAGCTGCAGCAACGTAATTAATCGTGTCAATCCACTGCTGCACTTCGTTGGGATCACTAGAAATTCATCTTTTTTCATAGCTTCGTTATATAATGCACGAGTTAAGTAAAATCTCAAATAAAAAATTGATCGGTTAATAATTTTCGTAACATACTTCCTTATTCATGAATTAGAAGAGAATCTAATATGATATGATTAAGTTATCAAAACAAAAATGTTATTAAAATAATGATTCCTTACCAAAATGATTCCTTATTAAATTATCAAAACAATGATTCCTTTAAAAAATGAAATGGTAAATGATTTCAAGGAGAAATGTGATAATGAACATACAGTAAAATAATCACCTCGTTTGAAAAAGTGTTTCACCGAGATTAGCTGTCTTTAGTTTGAATACATGTTGTCGCTTGTTATAATCTTCAGGCTTTTCAGCCAATGCATGATGCAGAAGAATAGCATTATTGAATGTTTGGAAACGGCCACGTCGGAAACCATTTTCATCTTTATGTAAGTAAAGAACCATCCCTCGAAGTCGTGCATAAACCATCTTCCAACCGCGACGGCCAAATGGAGCTATAATCGAATCAGATACCTTACACTTATGTTTTTTTTTGGAAATACTAAAACATGGTTGCCAAGGGTAACTCCAACGAAAATCTTTCTTTAAAATCGATATAGATTTCAACGTAAATCAGAGTCGACCATTCACGAATTTAATTTGATAAACTGTAACTCCAATTCAACATTCACTGTTAAAAAATTTATTGACTTACTTCGCTTTCCGTCTCTGTCGAAAAGGCACTTCCTCACAACCCAACCAGCTTTATACTCAATCTGATCATCATCACTCACTGTTGATCGCGATTTTGATAGCATCTTCTTTTTTCTTTCATGAATCTGTGAAATAATATCATCTGCCACTGATACATCATCAGGTGACGTCCCTTCCAATTCACTGCAAATAGTATTTTAAAAAAAGCAGCATGATAGCGATTCTTAGAGATCTAAAGCTAATTATATTTAATAAATAAGCAAAACTTACCCAACCCATTTGATAGGTTGTTCCTTGATAGCTACATACAAAGTCTTCAATAAAGAGCAATCGAAAACATGTTCTGTGTGACCTAGATTATCTACGAAATCACGACTAGACATCCGCCTCCCAACATTCTGCAGACATAGAAGTTTGAAATGTAAAACTTGTAAAATGAAATGAGTACTAAGAAGTACAAAATCAATTTTGCTTGAAACTTAGAGGTGTGACAATTAATGTGATAATTATGAAAATTTGACAATTAAAATAATCTCATACCGGACCATGCAAATCCGAGTTCAGCAGCAGTAAGGCACAGGTAAGAGCATGAACCTGGTCTAAAATTCAGATCATAAGCATTCAACATTACTGAATATTGGCATATATCCCATTCTTCTCACTAAAAAACCAATATCCTACGACTACCTTCCAATTATGAAATAAGCAGTTCAGTCCAGTTTATAAAATATTTCCTGTAATTCAAAACTATCGTTCGTATTCGAAAAAAGAAAAACAGCACGAATTAATGTTCCAGCGACAATACTTACCTACACTTCTGAAAAGTGTTGGATTGCATTCGTAATAACGCTTTGCAAAATGTTCAATAATACGAGTTCTTTCCTGAGTTTCACCCGTAAGGCAAAATCTTGAAAGAAAATCACGTAGTGCTGCATCCAAACGAATGCCGGAGAAATTGAACAAGGCACAATATTCTTCGGCAACGGATATACAAAATTCATTTCTAAATGAAAAACGTACCATGTTCTCGTCAAAGTTTTACCGCGTATTTTATAAATGACATATCATATTAATCTGGAATTTGTTATTCATAAAAAGTGTACCAGCAAATAACCAGCCTATGAACAATTATATCTTTTTAGCTTTAGAAATTTCTCTATAATCATTAATCCTTCCTTAATATATTTCTCGGCAATTCCATATTTTTCGGTCTCTGTTGCGACCCGCATCAAAAATTGCAATACTCCAAAAACTGTACAGAACTTGTCAGATATTCATGTAAGTGGAAATGAAATTTTTATCTTCACAAAGTAATCAGAACTTCAAAAAAATTACTTTTTCGACAAATGAGCTGCAACATCTTCCTTTTTGAAACCATCTAATATAAACAATCGCTTAGCAAGACGCACAGGTGCCTCAACATCGAATTCTGATCTCTTGTCATAATCTAAACAAATTTACTGGACAAAAGTTCGTCATTTTTTATTAATTGCAAAAAGATTATTTACCTGAAGGAGATGGACACCTGATTGCTGACACAAAATTGTTTGAAATGGGAACGGAAGTCTTTGAAGGGCTGTTTGGTTCGCTTCGACTAATTTCGAATGATTTTGTCACAATGACATTTTGACGTTCAATGTTCAGACTATGTGGAGCTACCGCAGAATTACTGCAGTGTGACGACAAAGCACTAGAAACAGTTGCTATGGATCCACTTGCTTCTGCTGTACAACTTAGGTTATTCCTATCTATGTTCACCGTCACTGAGGAATTTTTCTCGTCTATCTCGATATCCTGGAATGAATAAACGAATTAATATTTTCATTTTATTTCTCATCGCAGCAATATTGCACAATAATAAAAAAATCCATTTCGTTCATTTTTTCAGCTCTTTTGCTTACTGATTTTTAGTTATATTGCTCACTCAAACAAAAAGTAATATCAAATCAAAACCTGGAGATACTCCTTTTCATGCAGTCCATTTTCAGACTGTGATGCAGGGACCGCAGATTCTGGATTAAACCTCCTATTTCTTGATTTTTCTTGCATTACTGAAGGAAAATCGTCAAACGGTCTTCTAGATGTAGGTAAGTCTGCCTTTTCCGTTGTTGGTGGCAGCTGTTCGCAATGCATCTATAAAAAGTTTTTTGCAATGTAAACTTAATCCAAGCGACATGCTATATAACATGCAAAAGCTTAAAGCAAATGTTGCTTCAAGTTCTAATTTATAATTTTTGCGATATATCAAGATAAAAATGGAAAGGTGGGAGCAGTACGGATGAAATGCAATGCATGTTTACACCCTGGTTGATATATGCCCTGTAATAAATTTTTACGAAACAGTTTTTTAGTAACTTGCAAATTAAATACTTCAGCGTATCGTGGAGATATTTTGTGGTTCAAACTGATCATTTTGTCACCGGTCATCAGAAAGAATTCAGAACGTGGTGCTCCATTCTTCAGCGAGTTCTCCGACACCTTTTCCGGATCGAGTGGAGATCTTACTAAATCGTGTCCAAGGAGCACCTCTGTCATACTGCAAAAGTTCCTCTGAATAAATGTAAAACAAATGAGATGTTTAGCGATTAAAAACTGAATCTTTAAGAGGCTACAGGATAAATAAACTAAGATCTGAAGTTTATTAAACAGAAATAAACTGAGAAGTGTTAACAATTTAACCGTTCTAATGTGCAGTTTGGTGTTCGTAACGGAAGAAAAGCTAAAAAACAAAGCTAAAGAAAAGGTAAAGAAGAAAACAAAGGCTTATCCGTGGAATAATAAAAAATAAGTTATATAAAAAAAACCTCGAAAAAATAATAAAAATAGAGTGAATTTATATTGACACACATTACTGACAAGTACACAACAGTCAGCGACGACACAAGTTTAATTTAAACATGGTTCAAGCAAATAATACTAGCGCCTTGCTCTGAACATCACCTCTACATCTGATACTAACTGTTTAATCCTTGAACTACAAATACTCTAAACATCAACGGACAGTTTAACAATTAACACTATTAGTCTCTTTCAGTCAACCCGAGATCATGAAGAAGCGCCGTACCAAACAACTAGAATTCCGCAATCTATCAATTTTTATTTCATAAAATCCTATAAAAATGACTTCATATGACATAACTTTTGGAACAGTAGTCTCCATTCAACAATGTCACGTCTAATAACCATTAAGAAATACATAGTGAATCCTTTTAATTCGCTTATATTTATAATAGCTGCGGAAAAAAGTTGCAAGTGTAGCTCAGCCAAAGTAATTAAAATCAATGAGTCCGCACGTTGCTAATTTATCGCTATAAATAATTGTCGATAGCCTTACCAGTGCGTAGATGGCTAAAGCGCTAGCATCTTCTGCCACTTGGAAGTTGATGCTCAGTTGTCACCATAAAGAAACAAAACGGTAATGGATATGTGGATAACTCAGCTAGTAAAGCTATTAAAGCAGCAATACCTCATAAAGCAGACGCGAAACTAAGCCAAATCTGACACGAAGCGAAATATTGGTGAATCTCCATCTCATAAAATACAGTTACAAACCGAAGTTAAATTATAAATTTAGAAATGATGAATGTCATAAGAAAAGGATGAGAATGTAATTTTTGGAAGAAATGAGGAAGAGATTTTAAATGATGGACAATAAAAGAGAAGGAAGGAAACAGTGTGTATACACACACCAGTGTGTGGTATAGGAGAGTAAGCGATGAAAACAACGAAGGTGCAGTTTGTGTTTATCAAAAATTTCATTATAACACCGATTAATTAGAATGAAGTGTTCTATAGCCAGACTCTGCTCATTAAAACAAAGCAAAGTTTCACATCAACACTTCTTCTTGGCCACATCACAGTCGTTAACTCCGACCAGTTGTAAGAGGAGTCCTATTCGAGACTGGCGCTATATCGCACCACCCTCATCGACTCCTTCCATCCAAGGAGTAGTATTTCTTGCTGAGCGCAACCTTCCTAGCCACTTTCATTACACTATTTCACGTGCTCCAATAGAAAACAAAGAAGGATTGCAAGAGACGACTCATTTCTTTTGAAGTTCATATTTGCATTTACTGCCTGAGAATTCCACCAAATTTGTAACCTCTCGAGATCTGCAATGTGCTGTAAGTATATTGCATCACATGGAGATCCTTCCATGGCTTGGCTTCACGTCAACATGCTCGTACGTGCTTGAACTCTATTATAAATGCCTCGTGGCTTACTGGGACATTTATAATATAGTTCGAGGCAAGCTTTGTTGCCAAATATCAAATTGTCAAAAGTATTGAGAAGTTAACAAATTGATCAATGCAATTTGATACGTCCAAAATGCGATACTAATTGATCTCTTGAGCCTCTGCTGAATTGGTCAATTAACCGGTTATTCAGGAGTTTTGTGCCACATTAAATAAGTGAATAGCGAAAAAAGAAAAGCGCAATCTGAAGTGCATCTTGTATGCACATCTTGCAAATATGATGTTGACCAAGAATATAGCGTAGAAGATCTGTTAGAAGCTCTCAGTATCTAAGCACGCGAAATATCTTAACCTAATACTTATCTATAAGACTATTCGCCATTCTGTTTAAAACATTCTCCCGTATGTATGAGCATCTCAAAATCGACTCACAATTACTTCGACTGTCAGCAATTCTAATCCGTGTTGAAAGCTATTACAATATGTCTTTTCTCCATCCTTTTTATGTCCTATCCAACTTCTCCCAAATTATTACTGTCTTCTCCTACTATTTTCATTGGATAAAGTTGGAATATTTCATACTAATCCTGTTCTTTTTTTAGGTTTTTTAA